AGTAGATTAAATTGTAATAAGAGGAGTATTGTAAATTTTTTTTGCAATGTCCTCATTTATTTTATTGCCATATGTATGCTAAAAATCTCTTAGAAGTTCGTCAAGATTTAGTTTTATAAGTTGCTGAAGTTTTTCTGCGTCTTCTTGACGTTTTTTTCCTTTCAGTTCTGGGTTTGCACCTTCTATGTATAGAATTTCGAACTGGTTGTCTTCAAGTTTTAATCTTACAGTTCTGTGGTTTACGATTTTCATCATTTCCAAGGTGTCTCGAAAGAGTAGCACATGTGCTAAAACATAAAAATATTAGATTATCAAGAATTTTATTATATATTAAAATAGTTTTTCTTGCTTACGAATGAACAGACAGCCCAGGAATATCGCACACAGCAGCTTCTAAAAATTGATGAATTGTATCTATCAACCAAGTTTTCTTAGAAATTTCAGTTATGGAGATATCTTTATACTTCAAGAATATATTTCGACTAAAATAAATTTTTTGTCAGAATTATGTTTAATAAGAAACTCCAAAATTAAAAACTCATATGCTGCATAACATTTGTAAAAAGAATATTTCATCTCCTCTGTTATACTTTAATTTATTTAGGTTTAGTGATGTTAAGTCATCCGTAAAGAACTCCCACCTATTTTCAACCCAAATTTTAGCATCATCAGGAAGAATAAATCTATATTTATCATCAATTATACGAAGTTGTTTGAATTCAGATGGAAATTGGTCAAACACCATCGGAGGGATAGCATTGGTATTGATGTGCCAACTTCAGAGTGGTTTATTTTCAGGCAAATGTTCCAAATCAGAACTTATGACTACTTCAATGAATTTATTAAACTCATTGTTTGGTTTTAAACTGGCCTAACAAATTATATTTGAGTGAATTAGTGTTAAAATAATTCTATATACCCAATAATAACATACCTTGACACGTTTGGCAAACCGTAAACGATTCTCGGATTCTTGAATTCTTTTTCTTACATTAATTAGATGATGTGGTGATGAAGCAAATTCTTCTTTTACTATCTTTTTGAGGTTCCATTTTCCAACCAGATACCAGAAACCAAAGTGTTTGCTTTCTGCCTAAATAAAAATACTAACGGAATCAATTCTTTATAATAACTCTTGTTAATATTTAAAAATTAATATCTGCCCTCATAGGTTTTAAACTGATCATTAGTTTGATATATTTGAATGAAAATGTAAAGTAATATCAAAGCTCGGCTGCCCGAAACTTTAATAAGTATCTTAAGGATAGTAATGTTAAAGTTCGGTTGCCCGAATTTAACTCAAACAAAATAAAAGAAATAATAATAATAAAGTTCGGTTACCCAAAACTTTATCTCTAGTAAGGAGGGAATAGTAATAATGTTCGGTTGCCCAAAACATTGGCCCAAAAATTCTTATAAAAAAGAGAAATAAATAATAAAGCCCGGTTGCCTGAAACTTTAACAAATATTATAAAAGCAATGATGAAAGATTAATTATAAGGTTCGGTTGCCCAAAACCTACAAATTAACAATCCACCTGAATTATAAATAAAGAAAGTTACAATGATAAAAAAAGTCCGGTTGTTCTACGATCTTAACCATCGTTTAATAGGCTTAATATGGTATCTAGTCATTAAATTTACCTGTTTAGTCTTAAAGTCGTTGACTTCTCTTTCTGCATTTTCGTAATATTTAATAGCAATGTTCTTTGAAAATATCTGACACACAACCTCCTTAAACCAATATAACGTATTCTTCGATGACAGTATGAGATGAGACGATGATTTTGTAATAATAAACATTATAAACGTTTTAAGGTTAAAACAATTTAATGGTGTTTTTTGGGCGAATTCCTAAAAAACTTTTACGTAAGTATGTTAAAGCGGAATAAGAATTTGAGGTATATTTATTTAAATATTACCAAAAAGTCATTAGAAGTTAGGGCGCTGAATGGGGAAGTATTTTCAAATGCACCTTTTTCAATACACAACTTGGCCATAAAAATATTAGAACATGTAACTGTAATTACAAAAAAAAATAGGAAATATTATAAATAAATACCCTATCATTATTTTCTTGAAAGCTTACAAAAATAAATTTTGGCTTACTAGGAGACATTCTGCTTTAGCACAACATTTTTTTTCCCAAGATCATTTTAAATGAGAATCAAATTTTCGATTAATTCACTCCCTAATACGTACTTATATAGAAGCCCAGTGATCTATCGATATCGATAATCGTCATGTGATACGTATAAGTTAATTGGGGGTTAAACAAACATAATGATAATGATGTAAATTTTTATTATTTAATTCATATATAAATGATAATGTTTATTGATTTATTTAATTCATATATAAATAATAATGCTTATTAATTTATTTATGTTAAGTGCGAACTTTTTTGTTTATTGTCTAAAACACAACGTATAAAATAATTAATTTACTAGTCTTAATAGAATAACTTCACTGATCAATTTCCTTTAAATCGTTTCTGAACTTGATCACGTTATTTTTTCATATATCATTAAACTCTTGGTACAAAGTATTACAGTATAACTTTTATATTATTCTTATTTTTATAGACTTTATATCTTTTATAATAGTACCTAATTAAGTATTAATACTTTCATTCTTCACTACAATATCTATTTAATAATTGATATTTTTCACAAAGTTCTTGTTTATGATCCTTCAATATATGTGTATTTACAAGAAGATTATATTGGAATTTTTAAAAATCAATTTCTTTATCATCATTCACTTAGCGTAGCAGAGAATGATCTGGTTTTCAGCCTTGTTTAATATATGATTTCTTAATAATGCAATATTTATTTTTGGATTTAACCATTAATGTATCGGTATATCAATACTTTTTATTATTTGGCTTTTAAATAGAAATTTAGGATTAAAAATTTCTTAGTTTACTTACACGTAGTGTATTGTGCACGAGTACTGATTTGTAAATCCGTGAAATATCAATTTTTATAGCAACCACGATTAAATTATTAATCATAATATTCCCAATGAATGTCATCATCATAATCTGATCCTGTATCTGATTCATTCGAGTCATATTGATATTCGGCAACTCGTTGAATACAATTAATACATTTACAACCTTCCCTACAAAATACTATTAAACAATATATAAATTATTATCAAGACATTCTGAAATATTTATATTGTACTTACAATTTTGTTCTGAAGGTATCTTAGTTTTTTCTTTTTGAAATTCTGGTGGCAAGGAAGTTTCTTGTTGAGAAATTTGCTCTTTAAAATTGTCAATTTTAAAGCTTCTCTGATAAGCACAAGAAAATTCAAATTGTCGCAAGGATGCTTTATTCCTAGTTAAAAATAATTGGACGTAATCTACCAATTCTTTAAGACCAAATTTATTAGAGGCGATTAAAAGATCAATGATAATAAAAGCGTTAACATTAACTATAAATAAATCAATTAAAAATTTTAATATTAATTACTTTATAATAATATCGAATACTTTGATTGAAATGTTATTTATTTTAATGATCTTAATATTGCTTGAATGGTCGTAAGTCATTGATTGTAATTTATTTTTAAAATACAAACAGCAAGAATTTAAAATAATTGTATGAATCTTAAATTCTTTGCTGTTTGGTGGTTGACCAACTTCAATAATAACATTGTATTCGTCACTGTTTTTTAGAAGGTCATCTAAATTACATGAAAGTTGTTCAAGAAAATAGATTGTCATTTTATAAATGTATTCTATTGTTAAACTAAAGGTTATTCGACAAAAAAGTTGGCTTTTATATAGTTTTTGGTGGTTACTGATTGATTTTGACGAGTTTATTAAATGGTAATGATATTTATTTTCTATGAGAGCAATTCTATGGAAAAAAAGATCGTATTGATACTAAAAATTTATCAAAGAGAATGATCATGCATATAATTTTTTTTTAATCAATCTTATTAGTATCAATGATTGAACAAATTTTTTATTCAGCAAAATCGTCAACTAGCAAACACATAAAGATGAGAGTAATACGAATATCTTGAACTTAAACTTGAATTTGATTGCCACGTAAATATCATGAGCCAATTTGGGATTAAAAGAATTAATATAGTAGCATATTCGAAAAGTAATTTCATCATGATATCTGCAAATTATTACTAACAATTAAAATGGCACTACCATTTTCTTGCCTTCATAACCAATTCTAAGATTTAATTAAATTAAAGTTTTTTTGCAAAGAATATTTGCTAGTTCATTCTCATCTCAAAACCAAGTTGATTATTTTGAATTTAAAGAAGTTAACGTTTTGTTTAAAATAAGCACCTTTGCTAAATTCTTTTCCTCTTCCAGATCTAAACTCATGACATTAAGAAAACCAAGGTAGAGTTGTTACAAAATGCATTTGTCAATGCTTTTCCTTCTTTATGGTTAATTTGGTTAGATGAAAGATCTAAAGATAAAGATACATTATTGCAAGGATAATATAAACCAATTTTATTTCAATATTTTTATACTCTTACTTTAAAAGAATAATAGCTCATTAATATTTTATAATTCGATTTATTTATAAACTTTTTACTATACAATATAAAACTAAGCATGGAAATTGTCATTTAATTAGATACTTGTATTTTTGACTCTAGAATAGTCACCCAAATAATGATTGGGTAACAATGATTTATTAAATCGAAGACACATATAACAATATAATATAAATTACAAGCGTCTGCCAGACAGTATAATTTTATTTTTACAATTGTGATAAGTATTTTAATTAATGTAATTTTAGCGTCATATCGATAATATTTATTATTTAGAAATTTACAAGATCATTATTTTATTTTTAAAAGCATATCTACCAGTACATATTAGTATATTTTTTTATCAAATATATAAAATAAAATAGTGTGATGTTATATTAGAATAATTATGTAATAATATATTTCATACATCTTGCTTCAGCAATAAGTAAATAAACCGTATTATAGCTTAATGCTATATTAGATAAATTATATAATAATATATCTCATATACCTTGCTACAGATATACTAGAACATATCAAGTGAAATTGCATATTTCTGTATTCGTTTCTATAAATTTTTTGAACTATAATCGATATACACATGTAAAAAGTAGATTGTATATTAAAGAAATATATCTGTAGATGGCTGACGAAATTATTTTTGCAACGATGAAATTGACGAAACTATAGCGATAGTAAGATCATTGACGAAAATGACGAAGCAAATCATTTCATCAGTTTTTCAATTCTAGTTTTATCTGGTACAAATACATAATGATTGATTAATTGATTAATTGCTACA